TGTTTAATTTAAGCATTAAGATGCAGAATTCGTCTAAATGACTTATACTAACAAACGCAGGATTGTAAATATCTACGATTTTCTGGTCCCTCAGGACCATTGATGCCAGCACTATTAAATGTTGAGAATTGAGTACCGCTCAAGCCGGTGCTAGGGGGGGGGGGGGCGGGCGTGAGGAATGTTGCACTTTTTCATTATCCCTCATATACAGACATAATCAAACCGAGTCTACAATTTTCATGTTATTTTATTGTGATAAATGCTTCCGAGGGATGACTATGTTTCCAGATTTTTATCTGAACGTTTTCAAGTTTAAATCTCCAGCGTCATTATTTTTATATTTGAGCCGCGTCACGACAAAACCAACATAATGCGTTTGCGACCAGCATGGATCCAGACCAGCCTGCGCATCCGCGCAGTCTGATCAGGATCAATGCTGTTCGCTATCAGTTTCTCAACTTGCTATAGGGTTTTTAAGCGTACAGCACGGATCCTGATCAGACTGCGCGGACGCGCAGGCTGGTCTGGATCAATGCTGGTCGCAAACCCATTATGTTGGTTTTGTCGTGACGCGGCTCATTTCTTTTGTTGTTTTAAAGAAAATATGAAAAATATTCTTTGTGAATGTTGTTTAACTTCTGAAAAGGGATGGAGATATAGATATGCTCTCTCCGTACATAATTATATAATCTATATTATACAATTATATGAAATACAAAAAGAAAGTCTCTTTTATTTTTCGTTTTTATATTTTGAATTTCATTTCGATAGACTCGTCCATTTCCATGTTTTGTTCATAAAAATGGTAAGTTATTGACCTTGCTTTTTTGAGTCAATTTGATAACATACCATTTGTAATAAATATTTTCTGAACAATACAATTATCTCACAGAAATGGTTCATATAATGATAATATTTTTTTAACTGTCAAATACAGGAAAATATACAGTTTGGCAGCAATGCAGATGAAAGTAATAAAAGAGACATTTCTAAGAAAATGTTTACCTTATAAATAAGCCAATATTAGCCTTATTTTTTGTCCGCATGCCATTTATCCATTATAAATTACTAAAATAATTTATTGGATATTTTATCGTTTGATCCAATGTTCTAAAACTCTGCTCATCATTGAGAAAAAACGATAAATAGTTACTTATATTATCAATTTAATGTACTTACATTAAATGATAAAAGGAAACATAATCTACGATAATAACTCTAAATGAACAAGTTTTTGGATATCTACATGTTCACTGATTATCGGTATCAGCTGTACACTGATTCTCACTAAGTAAATCCATGTTATTGTAAGTCGAATAATCTCAGTCTAAATGACTGCAAGAATATTCTGTTGTAGGACAAAATGTTTATCATGCCAATCTCAGTGTATGTTTTAAACACTTTCTGAAAAATTACCAAAAACTACTTTGAAAACTATATTTGAATGTCGATTTTTCTAATTTCCGTTACTGTCGCCGAATAGCATTTACAATATTTAGCGCCGAGTAGAGACCATTTTTTTCTATATTTCCGAGCGCTAACATTCTTAGAACGGTCACTATAACTTGTTAAATAAATTAAACATCGTAAAACCCGTCTGTATATGTCTACAATAATTATCTGTGCAAGCAGTTGAACGTCGCCATGATTTGACAGTTCATAAAATTGCCGTTACTTGTAAATGCTAACCAGGCTTAAACAAGAGGAATAAAGAACTACTCGTCGGAAAAACATGTTAAAATACTAAACAACTATGTTATTATGCGCTGTTATATAAAGCGTTTGCCATTTTTAAAGATTACGTCAGCCAAACACAATTTTAGAACGTAGTTTAATTTTTAAAGTAAATTAATAAAATTTCCGTTATGATGAAAGAATCATTTAAAGGTGTTAGAGCGTTGTAGGGTATATGTGAACCGTCGGGTATTTTGGACCGCTTTCATTATAACGTTTAGAAGTATAATTCCAATTAAGTTCTTCAATTAGAAATGAAAATCAATCATCCTCTTTTCTGCTGGCTTCAACCTAGTGCCTGTACATTAAGTGAGTATTATTATTTTTTGCATGATATGAAATTTAGGAGAATCATGCCACGGTTTTATAATAAGCTTCAAAATAAAATGCCAATATTTAAATTCATAAAACCTGTTTATGATATATTTTGTAGAAGTAAACTATAAATCTAGGATGAAAAAAATCCCCTGATCATAATGTGAGCATATTTTAGTTGTTAATACTACTTGATTCATCATAAAATGTGGTTCCAAAACTCCCGACAACATTTTATTGATGTAGGGTGTTTTGGGACACGTGAATATCAAATGTTTATTATGTTATTTGATATTATAGAAACGTATCATGAACTCAGTGAAGGTGTGTTTGTATGTCAGATATGTTTTTTAAAAAACGGAACAAAAAACATCTTAATCCAAAATTATAGAAAGGGCAGAGAAAATGAGGATGAAACAAATTGACTCAGACTTAAAGCGGAAAAAATCTGAAAAGGGAACCCGACTCCTTAGAGATTATGACATATAAGTTTATTGTGATGACAATAATCTTGCAGATATGGATTTAAACATGCTACTCATGCAACATTCCATTTCTTATTAAAAGTGCTATATAATATACATGACCATCACGTTTAAAGAACTATGGTATCATAGTACAAAATGGAGACAAGGAAACAAGGAATTGCTGATTTGACGTTTATTGTCCAAGAATAGCGCTAATTAATGCACCTTTTCCATGCATTAACATCTGTAGAAGCCCTCAGACATTTTAAATCCCTCACTGTGCTGTCTCAGACTTTGAAGATGTAAATGCATACAGAAAGGGGCATTAACCCTCTGATAGTACTTAATCGAAATGAACAGATAAAATATACCATTTGACCCCACATACTCAATAGAGCTATAAAGCATCATAAAATAGTATTATATTTGATTTTGACTTTTTATTTAAAAGAAATTTTCAATCACATTGAACTATGCAAAATAAGGTTCTGCTCTATGGTTTGTTACAAAATTTTTACACTAAAATTAATGGGTCCCAAAATGCCCTTCTTTCTGTCCATAAATACCCGACGTGTCCCAAAACTGCCTCCTCATGCTCTTCTGTTTAACAAGGTATATCACGTTTGTTTTGTATATGCTTATGATAGTGGCCCATTATAGACGATAGTCAAACAGAGCTTATCCTAAGTATCCAATGCCAATACTGAAACAAGCATATTTAAAATCACAATAACAAATATGCCTTAGATGTCCCAATATACCCGACATCGCTCTACATATACAGCTTTGTATTTTATTTTGTGAGATATGATTGGATATGAAGCCAAAAACAAAATTAGGCCAATGTCCATTGCCTTTTGTGAGTGAAATGTTTTAAAATATTGCGAATAAAACTTTCCGTAATTAAAATATCCGTTATCGGAATTAAATGAAATTGCGTACCATGAATTTTAAACACGCGGCAGGTATTTTACGAATATTTATGACGTCATCGATGACGTTGTATACACATATTTGTTCCAAGGACGAAGAAAACAAAATTATTAATTCTAACACTATCGGAATTTTTTCTATATAGACAAAGAAGGCCGGAAGCGTGCATTATTCTACAACAATGCACTCGCCGTTCTTATTATCTCCCTGTTTATTTTCACATTGAAGGCGCCATTTTGTTTAAAAAAATCTGATAAATTAAAACAATTTTTTTCGAATTTTGTTGTGAAAACTATCTAGAATGAAAGAAAATGGTCTAACTAAGAAAATTAATCCGAACACCAATATCTTTAATTCAGTCGTTAACGCTGTACAGACGTTTAAAGTGTTGTTTACGTGACGTCACAATGTAGCGCCAAACAGCACGTGCAAAACAATCAAATCAAGTTCGCTATTTAATGTCGCAAACGAGTTTAGTTTTACATTTATTTCACTTTTAATCACTTGGAAAATTATAAACTGAAATAAATAAACAAACAAAGTTGTATCAACGTTTTCAAAATTCGTTATTTTCAAAATGTTTCTACAAACGGTAGATTTAACAGTTTTTTTTCAACCCACTGGAACGGTCTCTAAAGAACGTTTCTATTGGAAACTCTGAGGCGAAAACAAATTCAACCACCAAACATAAAGTCCAACGTTATAATAAAAATTATATTTTTTCTTGACGTATTAGAATGGAAATAGATATCAATTCTGAGTGCATTATTGTATAATAATGCACGTTTTTCGTTCAAATGCTTTGTAATTAATCACTCAGGCCTATCGGCCTTCGTGATTATATTACTACGCATTTGAACTCAAACCGTGCATTATTCTACAACAATGCACTCAGAATTGATATCTATTTCCTAAATAAAGATCGATATATGTTGGATTTTTAGAAGATAAGGTAAGTGTGTTTTTTTCATTCTGATATTAAAAGAAGATAACTATATATGTCTTTGACTTTTCTTCAGCAAGCACACGTTGATAGAGCTACAGTTTTACTCTATAAATGTAAAAGCTGGAAAATGTCTGTAAATTTTTGAGAATGACCTTGTCAGTGTTACAAAATTTCCGTGATGTTTTTGTATCGGAAATTTTATAAACATTATGAAGTTTTGGAGCATTTAACACATAACTAATTTGTTTTCTTTCTCGTTAAAACATATTCTAAACGCAAGTATGTCTTTTGGATGGAACATACTGGTAATTCAAAAAATAAAATCCAAATATATTTAACAAAAAATACGTATTTTACGCTGTCTTGTAAATTTCATGTGAAAACGATCCCATTATTTCAGTGAAAATGTTGTTTTTTTTAACAAGAATGCATGTTTTTTCACTTCTTAGTTTTTATCTACTTAAACATTTATTAAAACATTTTAATCAAGTATAAATTAATCAACGATTTAAAAAATGGAAAGAAAAAAACTTGGTAACGGAAATTTTTAAAAAAAATGTAACGGAAATTTTATTTACTGTTTTATGTTTTTTTCTTTATTTTAGGCAAAGTTATGGCCAAAAGCAGAGCCGAAATTCAACGTGCGTACAGAGAAAGGCAAAAGCAAAAGAATAAAGATGAATATTTACGACAAGAAAGAGACAGAAAGAACAGAAGTTATGTTCCAACTGCAGAGTTATCTGAAAATGATAAAAAGAAACGTCGCCAGAGAAACCGAAATAACTTGCGTAAGTTCTATGAAAGGAAACGACAGCAACGGTCAAGGAAGAGTTCTCAGAACAGTATCGGCAGCTTTGAAAGTGCAAATGAAAACAATGAACCAGGACCTTCCTCTTACAGAGGCAGATTAAGGGTGAGACTTGACTTTGGAAATCGTAGTGAAGGTAAAAGGAAAGGAGCAATCAAAAGATGGAAACGTGACATGTCCGATGTTTTTTCTATAATAAGATTATTAGAACAAGAAAGAAAGAAACTATTAACGAAAGTCAAGACCACTCAAAGAAACATGCAAAGAATGAAGCAGAAACTCAACAAAAGCAAAGAAAAAAACTGACACCAAGCAAGCAAACTGAACAAATAATGAAAGAGGCAAATCTAAGCGAAGAACAGAAAACTAAGTTGAGGAAGACACTTCTCACAGGAAATGCACTAATTAGAGAAATCGCTGAATCAAGAAAACAAACACCAAAGGGGAAAATGACAGCTGTACATCGTATAGTATCGGGCAGAATGATAAAAAAGTACAAATGCATAAAAGCACTTGCTGATAAAACTGGATTGTGCCGACACAAGCTTGGTAAAAGTGAAAACAAAAAGTACCTAGTTGAAAAAGCCATAAGAAGAACAAAGATTAAGCAGCAAAGTAAGAAAGTCGTAGATTTCTTAAAGCGTGAAGACAACAGCCGTACTTTGCCCGGAAAAAAACGACGCAAAACGACTTTAAAAGGGTGTAAAGGTACAGAGTCATGTTTTAACCGATTATTTAGGAAATCTATATATGAAATACAAGACTGAACATTTTGGGTCTTCCCTTTCATTTGCATCTTTTTGTAGATGTCGACCAGACTACATTCTAAAAACTGCATTTACTAGCAGACTGTCATGCTTGTGCACGAAGCATCAAAATGCTGCACTTACATTGAAAGTTTTGAAAAAAGCAGGAATGAATGTTGCAGCCAATCCCGAGAAAGCTGTTGAGAACATGCCAAGTACTGAAACAATGATGAAGGATTTAGATGACATGGTGTCTGTCAGCCAGTGAAAAAGAGTAGAAGTCGAGGACAGAGGCAAGAAAAAGTCTGTAACTAGAATTGTAGAAGTCAATATGGAGAAAGATAAATATATTAAGCATGCTGAAACACAAATGAAAGAATTTCGAGAGCACATAGACAGAATAAAAAATCAATATGAACAAATGAGATCTCTGAAATCAAACTTACCTGAACACCATATGATAATCCAAATTGACTTTGCAGAAAATTACTCATGCCGATCCATAGAAGAGGTTCAGAGCGCTTATTTTAATCAAACGTCAGTAACAATACATCCAATGGTAGTCTACTTTAAAACAGAATCCGGTGAATTAACTCACAAAAGTTTTGTAACAATATCAGACGAAATATCGCACAAGGCTGCAACAGTTGTGGCATTCATTGAAGATTTAATGCCAGAGTTGATGAAGATTGACAAGGACCTTCATACACTACATTATTGGAGCGAATCTGCATCGAGCCAGTATCGAAACAGGTACATATTTAACTTGATAGAAAATCACAAGCAAAAATTCGGAGTATGGGCAAGATGGAATTATTGGGAGAGCGGGCATGGAAAGGGGCCCTGCGACGGGTTAGGTGGAAGCTGCAAGAGACTTGCGGATGAAAATATTAGATCAGGAAAAGCAATTATACAGGATGCTAAAGATTTTTATGATTGGGCTCTTTCCTCAAATATGAAAAATGTGGCATTTCGTTTCGTTGATTCTAAAGTTTGTCAACAAAAAGATAAAGAATTAAGCCAAACTAAACTGCAACCTGTCGCAGGGACCATGAAGATTCATGCCACTGTCTGCCAAGATACAAATATTTTAACTAGGGAAACTAGCTGTTATTGTGCCCATTGCCTTGAAGGTGTAAATTGTAACAGCTGGAAATCAACCACGACTGTCAAAGGTGAAGACAAGAAAACAAACGCAAAAAATGACAATGAGGGCAAGCAACCAATAGAATCAGAGGTGGATGAAAATAGTAATACGAAAGAGACAAATATGAACAATCCTAACAATGACCAAAACCCAATTCCAAATAAAGATAAAAATGTAAACGTAGGTACACATCAATTAAATTACATGTATACTATTGGAGACTTTGTTGCTGCCGCTTATGAAAATAAATGCTTCATTGGAAAGATAGCAGATGAAGATGAAGCAGAGTTTGAAATTGACTTTATGGAGGAAAGGAAGAGCCTTTACCAGTGGCCAAGAAACAAAGATATTTTGTGGATTAAAAAGTCAGATGTTCTTTTTAAAGTAGATACACCGAATCCCACTGGAAAGAGTGCACGAATGTTTAAATTTTCAGATGAAACAATGATAAAACTCAGGTCCTTTAAGCAGTAAAACTTGTGAATGTTTACTAGAATATCAAACTGGTAGATTTGCATTGAGTTAACAGATTAAAAAGAGTGTTTTGTTAATAGTTTCAAGTTAAATACATTTGTACAGCTAATGAAATCACAATGACAAATATCATTTTGCTGCTTCATAAATTTCCGTTACATGTAAATTTCCGTTACTCACTTTAAATATTAGTAAGATATCCTTTGTATCTAATACAAATTTATTTGTTTTGAAAAGTACAATTATAGATAATTAGCTGTTGTTAACAATATTTATAAAAAATGTTGCTATGAATAAATTTCATATTCTAAAAGGTCATTTGTACAATTTTGAGATGGTCAATTTCAAACATAGCGAATGACACATATTTTTATTTTTATATTCACATTGTTTACATGATATGCGCCGTTTTTTGTTTGTACGTAAATCAGTACATAAAATCAGTTATTGTTCACGATTATTTGGTTTTTGTCCTTGTATTTAAAGAAGTCATAAAAAGTTAAATTTGAAATTTCCGTTACGTATTTACCAGTTTCATTATTTACATTGAAATTAATAATTCATTACAAATGGCTTGATGAAATTGTTAATATTTGATTGGTGATATGTTGTGAATGATATTACGCTTATGATACCACGTCCTATGTGACGTGCATAAAAGCTACAAATAATGTTGACTTAATATTAAGAAAAATACAAAGAAATTATGATGTTTAAATCAGCATTCCGTGTAATTCTTATGTTAAGGTATGTTTATAATCAAATATACAATATAATTGTTTTTAATTGAAAGATAACCTTTACCTTAGTTGTTTTTATACGAAATATGTGGTTCAATAGTTACAGACAATGTTAAATAAGATGACTTCTGAATTAGTTAAAAAATAGATAAATAATAGTAAAATTTTAATACGCCGACACCCATTAAACATAGAGCAATGTAATAAAAAAAACTAAACAAGATATGCATTCAATATTTTTTATTCATATTTCACATATATCAAAGAAACGAATTTTCACTGGTATAAAGTTATTTTACACACATCAATTTTTAGCATTTTCTGACTGGCATGGATCTTCTTAGTGAGAATCAGTGTGTAGTATGTAATTTAAGCTTCCAAGATAATAAAGAACTCGTTATATTCAATCAACTTAACTTATAACGACATTCACATTTGTTAGTAAGCATATCGACAGAGTGTACGCCGCAAGGGACGTGAATTGTCTGACAAAATGTTAGTTGGGCAAGATAAATCAAATTAATAGTCATCTATGATAAGTTGTGTTTCCATACCACTGAACAAATGTTATAGGCTTCTTTTATCTCACAGCATGATCTTACCTCCTGAGAATTAAATACTACATATATATATACTTTTAAAGGGAAGCGTAGACCTAGTGGTCAATGTGTCTGCCTCCAAAAAAGAGCAATAATCAACATGTCTCCTATATAAATATATTAAATGTAACATTCACTACTTGTACTTGTGTCGAACTCTAGGTTTTTTCAGATTAAAGTGACATTATCCTCACTTTTGCACTGTCAAATTGACTTTAATTGACTATATATTTCAATAAACTGGTTGTTATAATGGTGATTGACCAACACATGATATTTGAAAATGTTTAGGGTTAAAAAATAGATCTAGCTAAATATATATTAAAAAGACTGCCCCACACTTTTTATAAATTGAAAGTTAGATATATTCCGGATGATTACACACATGTCACAATGCCTTGTAAGTTATCGTTCATGTGAAGTAAAAATTGAAAGGACTTATGAGAAAATGTTAAATTATTTTGAATTTCATCTGTTCACTCTACATCTATATATGCATAATGCCCCTTTTAACAACAAGCTTTAACGTTTCAAATATTGATGAAGCATAGAATGTCTACCGAAATGCTTGAAATAATGCACGAAGGAGCATATGGTGTTAAAAGTTATATGTTTTTGCGATTATTTTCGCCTTTGATTTACATAGAACATTTATAAATGTATAAAGCAATCAATAGTTGGAATAATTATACTTACTAAATTTTTTCTAATTGACCTATTGGACGACATCAATTGTTAGACCTATTTGACGACATCAACTGTAAGACCTTTTCGACGACACTAACTGTCAGACCTATTGGACGTTAACAACTGTTACGGAATCAATTCGCCTCGTCCAGGGATCGAAACAGCAGGTCCTGGATTTAAAGTCCGATGCTTTCCTTTTTGAGCTAAGTATGAACATGTAGGTAAGAACGATGTTTTAAGACTAATTTTAAGAAATATGCCTTTTTCTCTATTTCTATTCATCGAACTTTGTAAATATTATTAACATTTATTTTTTAGACAGTTTAAGTCTATTTAATTTTAAATAGTAGCAAGAGTGTGTTAATTAATGATAAACAAGTGTTTTCACTAGACATGTCATATGTCGGAAAATAACGAATGGGAAGCAAAAGCTCAGAAATAATATGTGTTTATTTTTTACATTAAGGTTATTGAGCAAAATGAACTAATTGAATATAAATAAGGCATTCACATACAGACACGATGTCTAGAAAACGACCACAAAAAAGTAAATAGGCCCGGTAAACAATATTTATTCAAGTTGGCATCTCCAGACGTCAAGGTTGATAAATTAGAGAACTGAAGTACAATTGTTTCGATTGTATCAAATGCCCATTATCTTCAAACAGTATTTTCATACTAAATAACATATTTCAGAAAACTAGTATGGATGTGTCTACTTGGACTGCAATCATTCATGGTAAGTGGGGCTTTCCATAACTGGTTCTTGAATCAGTTAAAATGAATGTATAGACATTTACCCGAGTACATACAATTATAGGGCGAAAAAAAGTTTGGCGAAATAACAGTATACTTTTTATCTTTTTGAATAAAATTAGTTGATTTGTGTTGAAACGTATATTAAGTAAATTGT